CTTCCACTTGGCCCTGAGCTGAGGGTCCCACAGTCAGAATTAGAGAGTCTGCTGCCAGAGAGGCGTTGAGCCTGTCTCCTTCCAGGAAGTCACTTTTACAGTGTCCAGCAGTCTGCAGGGGCAGGACAGTGGAGGGCTGAAGAATCCAGGTACTTCCCATTGTCCTCCAAGGAAAAAGGTTAAGACTTTCAGTCCTGACACCCATAGGGGACCTCAAACAATATCTGGGAACTCTGTCCAAGCTCAGCAGTTCTTAGAGAAATCAGACTCGTGCATAGTTTGACAATGTAGAGACATGTAAACGGAACACAATCCTGACTCCTAGTCTTTCCAACTAACTCTGCCTGCCCCAAGTCTATGCTCCCCCACCAGTCATAAGAGGAAGACGTGCTATGCTATGTTGTTGCCTCTTACTCAGAAGAGTTGTGGCTACAGAAGAATGGAGACTAAGTAGAATGCACAAATCCTCTGACAAGGCAATCTAGCCTGATCCTTAAGCCAGCCTCCCCTGTCTCTTTTCTCCCCAATCCCTGGCCCTCCAAGAAACACTAGGGCTCTAGCCTGAATCCTGCTTGTTAAAGGGTTTGGGGAAAATAATATGCATGGTTGAACACATTACGATGATCTAGTGGCTAAAGTACTCACCATGCATGTGCCAGGATCCCATATGGGTGCCAATTCGTATCCCAGCTGCTCTGCTTTCCTTCCAGTTCCCTGCTTGTGACTTGGGAAAGAAGTTGAGGATGGACCAAAGTCTTAGGACCCTACACCTGCATGGGAGACCAGGAAGGAGCTCCTGGCTCCTGGTTTCAGATCAGCTCAGCTCCAGCCATTGCGGCCACTTAAGAAATGAACCATCAGGGCCCGGCACGGTGGCGCAAGTGGTTAAAGGTCCTCGCCTTGCACGCCCGGGATCCCATATGGGCGCCGGTTCTAATCCCGGCAGCCCCGCTTCCCATCCAGCTCCCTGCCTGTGGCCCGGGAAAGCAGTCGAGGACAGCCCAAAGCTTTGGGACCCTGCACCCGCGTGGGAGACCCGGAAGAGGCTCCTGGCTTCGGATCGGCATAGTATCGGCCCGTTGCGCTCACTTGGGGAGTGAATCATCGGACGGAAGATCTTCCTCTCTGTCTCTCCTCTCTGTATCTCCGCCTTTCCAATGAAAAAAGTAATAAAAATAAATCTTTAAAAAAAAAAAGAAATGAACCATCAGATGGAAGACTTTTCTGTCTGTCTCTCCTTCACTCCATAAATCTGACTTTCCAATAAAAGTAAATAAATTTTTAATAATAATAATAATATGCATGATTTTCTAGATAGGAAGAGTTCACTCAGAGATCAGCTAAAAGGACAAGAGGGCCTGGGCCTGAGGTGCCCTCAATTGGGGAGAGAAAGAGCAAGAGGTAACATCTAAGGACAGTCTCACTTAATATTGCAGGCAGCTCCCCCTCTCTCTTGAACACATTCCCAGCTTTCATAAAGAAAATCTCTCCCTTCCGAACACACCCCTTCGCTAACCTAGAGCTGCAGCTCTGGTCTCCAGCTCTGACCACACTCAACCCTTTGGAACACCTTCTCTAAACCTTTTGCCAGACTTACGCCCCGCAATCTGGGCCACCCATCCAGGTGAGGCCAGCCTTTGTTTTTCTGTTAGTCCTTTCAGCCTGCCCATTCATCCCTGCCTGGCCCTTCTCCTTCAGCATTCATTCAGACCTGTCACAGGTATCACGGACAAGCATCCTGACTCCTAATCTGGAAAACTTATGCGAAAGCTGCATGTTCAGTTAACAATGCACACTCTTGTTTAATATTTTTACTGCACATTCACCTTTCCAGTAAACAGAAGCACTTTAAGACTTTCCTTCACCATATCTGCTGTGTTTTATTTTGCTGACATTTATTTATTTATTTCAAAGGCAGAGTTAGAGAGAGAGAAGGAGAGACAAAGAGAGAAAGACAGATCTTCTATCCACTGGTTCACTCCCCAAATGGCCACAACAGCCAGGACTGCACCAAAGCCAGGACTGCACCAAAGCCAGGAACCTAGAACTCCATTGAGATCTCCTGCGTGAATGCAGAGGCCCAAAGTTTTGGGCCATCTCCCATTGTTTTTTTAAGGTCCATTATCAGGGCACTGGAACAGGGAAACAGTATACATCTCTTGCCCAAAGTTATCAAGAGATGATGGGCATCCAAGTGACATGCCAGCTTGTCGACCGTGCTTCTGCCAACATAGCAAAAAGGCATTGCTTCGAAGTACTGAAGGATTTCAGCAGCAGGATTTTTTGACTACCTCGTCAAAGTCTTCTCAAGATGACTACAACAGATTTTTATAATCAGATGTTATCACTGGAGCCAACTTCTATCTTCTTGCGGCATGTTCCAATGCACAGTTGGGAAGGTACTAAAAATTAGCACAATATTCCCAATAATCACAGATGGAAGCTGAGGTGCATTTTCCAGTATTAAGCAATTAGCTAAATCTATATATAAAGCTAGACATCATGCATGAATCTTACACTAATTCTTTTCAACACTTTGCATTTAGATGTTATTTTAAGAAGTGGTAATTACTACAATGTAAGTGGTAGCAATTTATGTGACAAAAATAATCTATAATTTTGGGCCCCATGCGATGGCTCAATTAGCTAATCCCTCCCCCATCAAGTACCAAAATCCTATATGGGCACCATTTTATGTCCCAGATGCTCCTCTTCCCATCCAGCTCCCTGCTTGGGGCCTGGCAAAACAGTAGAGGAAGGCCCAAAGACTTTGCTAACAATACCATTTATCATTACCTTAGTACAGTGAAATTCCTTTTTTCTTAAAGACTTATTTGTTTTTATTGCAAAGTCAGATATATAGAGATAGAAGCGGAGACAGAAAGGAAGATCTTCCATTTGACGGTTCACTCCCCGAGTGACGACAATGGCCAGTGCTGAGCCAATCCAAAGCCAGGAGCCAGGAGCTCCTCCGGGTCTCCTGTCCTGGTGCAGGAGCCCAAGGCTCTGGGCCATCCTCAACTGCTTTTCCAGGCCACAGGCAAGGAACTGGATGGGAAACGGGGCTGCCAGGATTAGAACCAGTGCCCATAAAGGATTCTGGTGTGTTCAAGGCAAGGATGTTTTAGCAGCTAGGGCACTGCACTGGGCCCTCAGTGAAATTCCTTAAAACTGAAATTAACTTTTAAAACTATTCATAACTGTGATTCAAGAAAGATTACTTGACCATGATACTGTCAAAAGCATATAAGATATGTGAATGCATATACTGGAACCACTGCCTGCAACAACAGAATCCTAAGGAGCATTGGTTCAAGTCCTGCTGCTCTACTTCTAATCCAACTCTCTGAATTAGTGGCCTGGGAAGAGCAATGAAAAATCACTCACGTGTTTGGTCACCTCCTTATCCCATTTGGAGACCTAGATGAAGCTCCAGGCTTTGGCCTGACCCAGTCCTGGCCATTGCAACCATCTGGGGCATGAACCAGTTGATGGCAGATCTCCATGTGTCTCTCTATAGTTCTTCCAAATAAATAAAACTTTTTTCTGTTTTTAAGATTTACTCATTTTTATTGGACAGAATAACAGAAAAAAGAAAGAAAGAGAAAGCTCTTCCATCACTGGTTCACTCTCCCAACTGGCTGCAACAACCTTGGCTAGGCCGATGTGATTCCAGGAGCCAGGAGCCAGGGGCCAGGTGCTTTTTCCAGGTCTCCCACACAGGTGCAAGGTCCCAAGGCTTTGGGCCGTCCTCAATAGCTTTGCCAGGCCACAAACAGGGAGCTGGATGGAAAGTGCAGCACCCAGGACATGAGTCAGCACCCATAGGGGCTCCCAGTGCATACAGATGGAGGATTAGCCAGTTGAGCCATTGCACCAGGCCCAAAATGAATGGTTTTAAATAAAACGCATTTGTCTCCAGAATGGCATAGAAGCCTATTGCATTAGACATCCCTGTATCAACCAATATGATCAGACTTCTGATGAGTGAAATTTTCTTATTTCTTATTTCTAAATGTTAGAATTTTGTCATAAGTCTATCATAAGATTTATTGGGTACAACATAGCGTTTTAAATGTGAAATCAGAGCTAAACTAGCTGTCACTTAATACGTAAGCTTGTACATACATAAACACCACAAATCTCATTTTCCTCAAATGAAAAATAAGATTCATAGCAGAATATGCCTTGGTAGGAATTAAAGGAAATAAGATTATGTAGTGTGACAGGGTGCAGCCGGGTAATAGCACTCCACAGCAGCAGGCAGGTTTGCTGAAATAACTAAATTCTTTGGCTGCGTGGAAACTCTGGGCTCCTGCGGCTCTGCAAGCGCTGCCCTTCCTGCACTCTAGCTGCTGTGAGGAGTCACTGGGCAAGTGGGCAGTTGAGCCTGTTGGAATGCGAGGGGCCCCATTAGGGCAGTTGGAATGCAGCTAGTTCAGTTAATCCCTCTAGGTTTTTGAGCGCTTAAAAATTCCTGACTTCAGCCAGGCAGCGAGCACAGTGACTCCTGGGGTAAATAGGGAGCTGTTGTTTCCAACCTAGGCTAATAAACACCCCTCCTAACATTTGTTTTCCAGTGTGATCTCTCTCAAGCTCCTCAACAGTTTTCTTGATTATTTTGAGAAATCTCTCATCTACTGATTCACTTCTTAAAGGCCAGCAGCAACAGCAGGGGTGCAGTCAAAGCCGAAGTCAGGAGCTGGTAATTCCACCCAGGTCCCCTCTGTGGCAGGAGGCCAAGGACCTGAGCTCCTGGCAGGGTAAGTGCCAGCAGCCAGCTGCAATGCAGAGACCAGGCTCTCTGACACCGAATGCTGACTTCCCAAAAGACCTCGGGTCAAAGTCGTGGAGACAGTATGCGACCCACGAACTTTCTCAGCAAGTGGCACCAGAACCCTCGTAATGTGAAGAGAAGCCAAACACTGTTACACAGATTAAACTGCTGACCAATAATTATCCATTTGCTACCTTTAGTAGCTTAAATCTGGTTTCCTTACCTTTCCCTGACTGCATTCTCCCCATTTCACAGAAGGAAACATTACACTCCTAGCTCTACTGAGTGACAACTAGGACCTCCAAGTCACCAAAGAAAACACGCGGAAATGGACGTTGCCGGGCGTCGCCCCACCCCTTAGCGATACTCAACAGGCCTTCTAAGTCCCGCCCTCGCCCGGCTTCCGCCGCGAGGAATTTACATACTGAGTTTCTATTGGTCGTTAGTAATCACTCCTTCTTCTCATTGGTTGATCATGTTTCGAGCGACATTCCGAAGGAGGACTGACGCGACGGGCTGTAGCTGAGGGTCAACGGGAGTCTCGTTTCCGTTTCCGGTTCGTCTGTCAAGCCATGGTGACTGCGTGGGGACCGAGGTGGCTAAGGATGTTATCCAGATGGCGCCGCGGCGTTCGAGTAGCACCGCAGTCCCGGGTCAGTCCCTGCGATCTCTGCTCTCGGGGAACCTCTGGGCCTCTAGACACGACTGCGCTCCGAGAAGGAGCCGCGCCCGCCTCGACCTCCGCCTGGCAGCCACACGTTCTCTGTCTGCCCGCAGGCGCTGGGCGCCCTGGTCCGCGGCGTGACTCGGGTGGATAACCGGGATGATTTCCTGGGGAAGAGGCCGCACCGTCGCCACCCCGGCGTGCTCCGGCTGCCGTGCGTGCGGCCGCCCCCGGCGCTGGCCGACGCCGCCCAGCTGCTGCTGCTCAGTGGGTACCGGCGGGATTGGGGTGGGGGGTGGCGCCTGGGCAGGGGCAGCCCAGCCGTGCACACCTTCTGATTCCGCTTTTCCACTTCGGGCACCTAGAGAACGCTGTGCCCGGTATGGAGAAGCAGGTGCAGACCCTGACCAATTACCTGTGGAGCCGACACGTGCCTGTGGAAGCTGAGGAGTTACAGAGACGAGCTGCGGGTCTGGAGAGGTTGTTCTTGGAAACGCCAGGTAGGCTGGGAGACAGGTCAGGTCGGATTGGAATAGTGGGCAGGGAAGTGCGAGGAATAATGGTACAGGCGCTCACAGGGATGCTGTGGCTTTGACTGCCAACAATCTACTGGAAGGTGGATTGCTCCAGACTTTGCTGCTCTTGGGGCTTGGGTAAAAAAGCATCGCAGGTCAATGTAGGGTCCCTCCCAAACACACAAGTCCACTGGGTTAGGAACTTCTATATTTTAATAATGCAAAATGAAATCTGTATAGTTCTCTGTCCCTTGCCAAATACCTCTGGGACAGAATGTACATGATGAGTGATATTCACAACAGACTTCTGATGCATCTTGTGTCTCCCTGTGTCTTTTCTCACTGTGTCTGGCTCGGAGTGGGCCCCGTGTTTGCAAGTTCACCTCTTGATGAACGCAGTAGGACTTTGATGTTCAAATTGCTTTCCTACCTATAGGCACATGGGGCATCCCAGTCTTCAGATTTGGGGAAGTGAGGGAATCCACCAAGTAATTGCCCTCCCCTCTATATCTTTATCAGTTCCCCCTTGAAGAACATGTGTTGGGTGAAGTGGAATGTGCTGCTGTTGGAGACAAATGCTGTCATACACACACTGGGGGAGGGAGAACTGGGTGGGCGGGACGTTCAAATATTGGTTCTGATCTCTGTTTCCTTAGGTCCTCACTTCCAGTCCTTGTTCTCACCCCAGACTTATCCCAGACTGAAGAAAAACTTCGCGGAGCAGTGCTACATGCCCTGCGCAAAACTACCTACCATTGGCAAGAACTGAGGTAAGGAACAGGGCTAGAAAACATGCAAAAGAAAGGTTAGACTTGAAAGGGAGAGCTGGAGAGTACAATTACATGATCAATGTAGTGTTTGAAAAACCATTCTCTACTGGGAAGTGAACAGCTGAGCTGGAGGAAGCCTTTCCTCCAGGGGTCAGCAGTTGTGTCTCTGATTTTCATGCAGCTACGATGAAGGACTGAGCCTGGTGTACATGGCAGCAAGACTGGATGGTGGCTTTGCAGCGGTCTCCAGGGCATTCCATGAGGTGAAAGATCACTTCTAGCATCCGCCCTCTTACCCGACATCTCCCTTGTAGGTTCAGAAAGTAGTCTTGTAGCAATGCCTAGGTGTGTCTATTCTCTAAAGGGATTCTATAGCCCAAGAAAGAATTAAACCTGCTATTTTAGAGGCTTCTTATTAAGGGTTTATGTTGAATATCGAAGTCTATTCACATCCCTCTTCCTCTGTCATAGTCCCTTAATTATATTTACTAAGGAACTAGATGGGTGTCCTCTTACCCTACTGCGGGATGGTGTTTGTTTCTTCAGATCCAGACTCGAGTCCCAGAGTTCCAGCCCCGAACCTTGATGGACTTTGGCTCAGGTGCTGGTTCTGTCACCTGGTAAGTAACTTGCTTCAGCCCCTGATCTTCTCAAGTCTACCTCTAGACAGTCATACTTGCAACCAGGATAGTATCAGGAGATTGGAAATGGGAATCCACAGTGTTTCTTCCTTCAGGTTAGACAAGGCACGAGAAGATATATGGACTGGGGCCAGGACTGTTAAATGAAAACACATCCATGTTTGTGAACTTTAAGGCAAAGGGATAGTAGCATAGGGTGTAAGTTTTTATGTGTCAGTCAGAGTTGTTTGCTTTATTTTTAAGCCAATTTTTTAAAGGAAGTATAAATAATAAGAAAATAACATTGCTTGAACAAAAAAAAATTGAAAACAAAAAATAACATTGGTAATCTTCTAATTTTTTATCATTTTTCCCAACTATTTTAAACATAAACCTGTTTTCCCAGGGGTGCTGTTGGTAATGGGTATATATATCTGCTGTAGATGGGAATTGGTGATTTCTATGTTGCTGTCTTAGGGCTGCTCACAGTGCTTGGGGCCAAAGCCTTCATGAATATATGTGTGTGGACAAATCAGCTGCCATGTTGGACCTGGCAGAAAAGTTACTGAAAGGTGAGGACAAACGGTTTGTTTTTGTTTTTAAAGGTGTTTTTTGTTTTCTTTTGTTTTGTTTTGGTGGAGAGGCAAACTTATAGAGAGAAGCAGAGGCAGAGAAAAATCTTCTATCTGCTGGTTCATTCCCCAAGGCCACAACAGCCAGAGCTGAGCCAATCTGAAGCCAGGAGCAACTTCTGGGTCTCCCACACTGGTACAGGGTCCAAAGGCTTTGGGCCATCTTCTTCTACTTTTCCCAGGCTACAAGTAGGAAAACTTGATGGAAAGTGAAGCGGCCAGGACATGAACCGCCCGTATGGGATCCCAGCACTTGGAGGTAGAGGATTAGATAGTCAAACCTGTAAATCTGGCCCAAGGACAATCTTTTTGTTTTTAATATATTTTCATTTTGAATTTGGAATTGTGAGGTACAATTTTGTGTAGGCTAGGAATTCCCCTCCAAACTCCCACCCCTGACAGATTTTTCCCATTTTGTTACAGCAGTGTAGTCCTTCATAAGAAATCATAATTCAGTCAGTCTCTAATTTAAGTGTACCCCGACATTGTTGGTACAGACAATGTCAGACAGTCAAGCATCCCATTGTCTACACATGCCAAGGACAATCTTTAAGACTGAAGTACTTCAGGGCCCGGTGGTGTGGCCTAGCCCGGTGGCGTGGCCTAGCGGCTAAAGTCCTCACCTTGAACACGCTGGGATCCCATATGGGCACCGGTTCTAATCCCGGCAGCTCCACTTCCCATCCAGCTCCCTGCTTGCGGCCTGGGAAAGCAGTCGAGGACGGCCCAAAGCTTTGGGACCCTGCACCCATGTGGGAAACCTGGAAGAGGTTTCCGGATCCTGGCTTTGGATCGGCATAGCATCGGCCGTTGCACTCACTTGGGGAATGAATCATCGGACGGAAGATCTTCCTCTCTGTGTATCTGACTTTGCAATAAATAAATAAATAAATCTTATTTAAAAAAAAAAAAAGACTGAAGTACTTCTAACACAGAGGAGTACTAGAAAAAGTGTTTTGTTGGGAACTGGAAGAGAGGACCAAAAGTAAAGATAAATCTGTTTTCTCTTCCAATTTCATGGTCAAGCAGCGTTAGAAGCCTTTCCTGTTCTCTGTATGGGTTGGGTAAAGTTTTTTCATATTCCATCTCATTCTCATCTAATGTTTTTCTTTATTCCTGAGGCCATATTTGCTACCTGGATGTCTTCAGTTTACACCTGCTACTATGACCTTGATATGCATTCAGTTGTCACCTCTCTTCTCCACAGGTGGTTCAGAATCCGGAGAGTCTTACGTTCCAGGTGTATTTTTCAGACAATTTCTACCTGTATCACCTAAGGCAAGTAGTAATGTTTATAATAAATATTCTTTGTGTGGAATATGGCACATAGGAAAGTGTGGCCTCAGGTCTGCAATCCAGCATTGAGTGATGGAAGATTTTAAAAAAAAAAAAACATCAAGGAAACTTAGCGGATAGGACTTTGTCACCCTCCTGGTTTAGAGAAATGTCAGGTCTTTCATGTCTCTCATCTTGGTTCACAGGTGCAGTTTGATGTGGTCGTATCTGCTTTTTCCCTAAGCGAACTGCCCAGCAAGGCAGAACGCACAGAGACAGTTCAAACTTTATGGCGAAAGACAAATCGTTTTCTGGTGAGTTGAGATCCCTCCTAAAGCAGCTTCGTGGATTTCACACCTTACTTTCTCTTGTGAGTTTCACGTTTTTCCTACTTCATGATCGTCGTTTTTGAATAGTGGTCTCGTTGGAACTCTTTATCCTCTTTGGATCTCTACCTCCCATCTTACATATGATGCCTGTCTCCCTTTAGGATTCCCATTCTACCTGTGAATGTTCTTACAGAGTTGCTAACATTTATGCTTTTATGTAATTTGGGAGTCCTGCTTGTTTTCCCCTTGTGAACAGGTATTGGTGGAGAATGGAACGAAAGCAGGACACAGCCTTCTCATGGACGCCCGGGACCTAGTCCTTAAAGTGAGGATCCTTCTTCCTTCTCCCCCTACTGCTCTGTTACCACTCTTACTCTCTTGAAAAGCATTTCTGTCATATGCTGGTAAGGGAGACAGACTCTCAGGAAACAAGGCGTATAATACTCAATATATATCAGGTACGTGTGGTATATACCTATCTCTTGTAGAAGAGTGGTCAGCAAGTAAGGGCCTGTGTCTGACATCTAGGTAGGTCACCACCTGTTTTTCTATGAGTTGTACTTATTATTATTTTTAATGATTTATTTATTTTTATTGCAAAATAAAATAACAGAGAGGCGGAGAAACACAGAGGAAAATCTTCTGTCCAATAGTTCACTCCCCAAGCAGCCACAATAGCTGGAGCTGAGCCAATCTGAAGCCAGGAGCTTCCTCTGGGTCTCCCAAGTGGATGCAGGGTCCCAAAGCTTTGGGCCGTCCTCGACTGCATTCCCAGGCCACAGGCAGGGAGCTGGATGGGAAGCAGGGCTGCTGGGATTGGAACCAGTGCCCATATAGGATTCCCCGTGCATTCAAGGCAAGGACTTTAACCACTATCCTATTGTGCCAGGCCCTGAGCTGTGCTTATTACTCAGGTTCTTTTTCTCTGTGAATGCTTTCACACTCCAAGAGTCAGTAGTTGAGACAGAGTTAGATTTTTGCCTACTCCCTGGCCCCTTTAATTAATTAATAAGTTTGTTAATCCCTGATCTAGAGCATTGCTGAGCCAAGAATCTTATCTCTTTGGGAAGGTTGAAGCCAGTGAAAGATCATATATTTAATTGCCTTGGAGTGGGATTTTCTTGAGAGTAGAGGCTGCTGACAAGGGAGAGACCACTCTTTGTGCCAAATTCCTGCCTTTCTCCTGCTGCAAAGAGTTCTTTGTTGGAATATTAGAGATGTGGGCAGCTTAACCCAAAGCACATAGTTAATCGTTATTAGAATTGAATGTTAAAGGAGTCCTTAATTTACTGAGTTCAGAGATTGAGTTATCAAAATGGGCCCCACAGACATGGCTTTATTTCTCTGGTTTCATATGATTTCAGGGGAAAGAAAAGTCACCTTTGGACCCCCGGCCTGGTTTTGTCTTTGCCCCAGTAAGTATTGCTTCTGCCTGTCCCTACGCACAGATCTAACCTCCAGTGTGGCCAGGAAGAGTGAGAGGGCAAAGTCAAGCTGCCTTCCACTGTCCCTGCCCAATTTCTACGTAGTCAGTCCCTTCCTCTTCTCCCCTCGGCTGCTTTAGTCCCTTCTGGCTAGCTTTTCTTGGCTTTCATCCTTAGTTTTTCAGTTATATGCTGCATGACAATGTCTTTGTCTGTTCACAGTGTCCCCATGAACTTCCCTGTCCCCAGTCAACAGCTTCTAGGCCCCTGGCCTGTAGCTTCTCCCAAGGCTACCACCCCATCCCCTTCAGCTGGGTAAGTACTCAGGAAATACTGCAGCAGGGAGAAGGTCACCTAGAGATGCAAGAATCTATGCAAGAAAAAGAATCAGAGAAGGGAGGAGTTGGAGAACTAAAAGAATGACCTATAGCTTTTAAGACCTCTGTGTGTATGATTCGTAGAGAGAACTAAGGCCTACAGTAATTGGATATGTGCCTAAGAAGGTTTTTCCTGCATCTGATCCCTTCATATCCTTATATTAGAATAAGAAGCTGAAGGAAGAAAAGTTCTCTATGGTGATCCTTGCCAGGGGATCCCCAGAGGAGGCTGATCGCTGGCCCCGTATCACTCAGCCTGTCCTCAAACGTCCTCGCCATGTGCATTGTCACCTGTGCTGTTCAGATGGGCACATGCAGCATGCCGTGATCACAGCTCGTCAGCATGGCAGGTATGAGGGTAGGGTACGGGGAGTACAGCCAAAATAGTAGGACATGACAAGAAAGCACAGCCCTCATTGACATCTCTTCTGTTCCACAGAGACCTGTATCGATGTGCCCGGGTCAGCTCCTGGGGAGACCTTTTGCCTGTGATCACGCCTTCTGAGTTTCCTCCATCTTCTGCTCAGGATCCCCCTGATAGTTGACAGGACTGTTGGTATACGTCTTGCCATAACCAGCACCATCTTGGATGTAATCGTCATGTTTGGCCACTCTATGAACTCCTACACAAAAGAGGAGTGATGTCACAAACAAACCTATTAAGTTGTCCTCTTGGGCAGTCCATGCTGCCTGGTTTGTCTTGGAATGCAGCTGAGTTATTCCCTATTTCTTGATGAGAAACAGACCTCTTGTAATTGGCACAGAACCCCCGTTGCCTAATATACAAGCCCCCTCCGTTTAGTTCTAGGTGTGGAGATCCAGTAGTATGCAGCTGACTTTGGCCATACATCTCTACATAAGTTATTCTTCAATAAAATACATACTTTGTAATCCTGGGTTTGACTTCCGCTTTTTTCCCCATCTTTTGGCACTTTCCACCTAGTTCTCTTACACTGAGTTTAGTTGACATAATTGGCAAACAGCCAGGCGATCAAAGAGATGAATAAAGGAAAAGGCCTTTCGGTGGGATCTGAGTTGGCCATTTGCCTCTGTGTCAGGCAGGGTGACCCATGTATGTTATGTGTGGCCCTCTACATGTGTACAAGGATGCCCAGAAAATAAAATGCTGTCCCTCCTGTTGATTGACTATTGTTGGATGCTCTTTGGGTCACTGCCATCATGCAACTAGTGATAAAAGCAAGTAAAGAAATTAGAAGAAAATATTACAACTAGAAAGACATATATGTGTCTCTCTACCTCCCTGTTGGCATTGAATCTGACTGAGGAAATGAGGAATTTTAAGCTAAAAGCTGTGGCCCATCATCTCATAAAGGTTAGAAGAAATGGAAAAGGATGTAGGTACAAGCTTTCCTGTAAGCCAGAGTGGGATGCCTCCATGGGAGGAAAGAAGTGATAAGGTTATAGAAATAGAAGAGGAGGGCCTGTCATGGTAGTCTACCAGCAAAGTCCTCACCTTGAATGTGCTGGGATCACATATTGGCACAGGTATGTGTACTGGATGCTCAGCTTCCCATCCAGCTTCCTGCTTGTGGCCTGGGGAAGCAGTTGAGAATAGCCCAAAGCCTTGGGATCCTACGTCCACGTCCAGTGGGAGACTTTGAAGGAGCTCTTGGCTCCTGGCTTTGGATTGGCTCAGCTCCAAACATTGTAGCTACTTGTGAAGTGAACCAGTGGATGGAAGATCTTCCTCTCTGTCTCTCCTCCTCTCCATATATCTGACTTTCCAATAAAAATAAATCTTAAAAAAGAAAAGAAATAGAAGTGGAAGCTTCTGTTGGAGCCTTGTCATGTTGGCCAGCCATATTTACAGAAGACAAAAAGCCCAACACATCTTAACACTAGGGGGACTGGCTTTTTTGTAGTACAGTAAGTTAAACACATGCTTGTCATGCCAAGATCCCATAACTGCCAGTGTTATTCCTGGGCTGCTCTGCTTTCAATCCAGCCCCCTGCTAACGCACCTGAGAAAACAACAAATGACCCAAGCACTTGGGAGGTCTGGATGGAGTTGCATGCTCCTGGCTTCACCCTGACCCAGTCTTGATTTTTTTGACCATTTGAGGAGTGGTAGATGGAAGTCCTCTTGTCTCTCTGCCTTTCAAATAAATAAATCTTTGAACAAAAATCTGCAAGTATATTGCTGCTGAACTTGAAGCAGCAAAAATCTTCAAGCAGTTGCTAAGAAGTCTTAGCTACTTGATAGTGAAGTTAACATACTTGGACAGCATTTGCACATGGCACTCCAAATTGAAGGAAATTGTTCTCCCATTGTCTGTATTTTACGTATGAAGGGGCCTGGCCCAATGAGGGAGATCTAAGCAGGAAAGACTGAGGAGGAAACTCAAGGCATCCTACGGGAACTAGGACTGCCAAAGGCTGGTTATACCCAGGAGTTTTGAAGGCAAGGCCATTTTCATTTGACTGAAAAACGTTGCTGCAGAGTGCCCTCTCGCTTCAGTCTGACTCACTGCGCTGTCAGGGAGGTAAATGTGATCAACTGTGACATCAGTAAGGCAAAGGTAAAAGGTAAATACTATCAAAAAGGAAAACAAAGAGAATATGAGAGTAACCAGAAAACAGCTACAACCCCTAGCTCAGCTCTTCTAGGTGACAAGATAGGTAAAATAATGGGTGTCAAGTGTACTTAGAATCCACGGCAACCTGGAACATATTCTGGGACCCAGCGTGGTCACTGACGGAGAATGCTGAAGCAACTACTGCTACTAATGAGTCACACACACGCACACACACACTGCATAGTGCCAATTTTTCTACTTCACAGAAAGCATTTTAAGAATGGCCATACTATTCCAAAGCATTACACAAGTTTCTGTGGAAGACTTCCACGTGATGTTTAAATCAATAAAAGCTATGTTAGGCCAAGAAGCTCAATGTGACCTGTTGATCTTCCTACCACTGGGCAGGTGGCACCTTAGAGATAGTACAAGTTACCTACCAGGTACAGAGACAGGAGAAATGAAAGGATCAGAGCTGGGATTTCACATCCAGCTCACAGTATTTTTAATAATACTATGGTAAAAACAACAACAACAACAACAAAAATACTTGACGGGACAGGAGAATAATCATTGAAGTCCCTTGAAGTGACTTACTTGATAACTGCCACAGCGCTTGACAGTGATAAACTTTACCATTACACTGCATGGTGAAGAATAGAGATGTTCATAGGACCGTTGGGTTATTGACAGAGCTTCACTCACCCTTTAGCTCAGTGCCACCACTCGTATCAAGTGATTAAGAAGGGGGCTTCGGGCCGGCAGGATAGTGTAGTGGTTGGGGTCCCGTGTGGGCACCAGTTCTGGTCCCGGTGGCTCCGCTTCCCATCCAGCTCCCTGCCGGTGGTCTGGGAGGGCAGTCGAGGACGGCCAGAGACTTTGGGACCCTGCACCCGTGTGGGAGACCTGGAGGAGGCTCCTGGCTTTGGATCAGCTCAGCAACGGCCATTGCGGCTGCTTGGGGAGTGAACCATCGGACAGAGGATCTTCCTCTCTGTCTCTCCTCTGCACATGTGCCTCTCCAATAAAAATAACTAAATAAATCTTTTTTCAAAAAGGGAGAGGTGCTTTGTGAGACTGAAATGTACTCAGCAGGAAACATTTGAAAAAAAAAAAAAAGCAAGATTTTAACAGAACAGGCACAGATTTTTTAAAAAAGATTTATGTATTTTTATTGGAAAGTCAGATTTACAGAGAGAAGGAGATGAGAGAGAAAGCACTTCCATTCACTGGTTCACTCCCCAAGTGACAACAGCTGGCGTTGAGCCAATCCAAAGCCAGAAACCAGGAGCTTCTTCCAGGTCTCCCACACAAGTGCAGGGTCCCAGGGCTTTGGGTCGTCCTCGACTGCTTTCCTAGGCCACAGCAGGGTGCTGGATGGGAAGTGGAGCATCCAGGACACAAACCGGTGTGGGATCCCAGAGTGTGCAAGGGGAGGACTTTAGCTACTAGGCTACCACATCAGGCCCCAGGCACAGGTTTTGGACATTCCTCTACCTAGGGTGCCAATGCAATCAGATGTTATCAATACAACAAAGGATGTAAGACCCAGGCCCTTTGGCAAGAACAAAAACAGAAAATACCTTTGCTTTTTTGGGGCAGCTCTGGAAAAGAGTTGAAACTCTACACCTTAGAGCAACAGTTCTTAGTGACATACGATGCCTTTTTATAGGTAGAGCCATTAACCAGGACTTTACCAGACCTAGTGCTCACTGGCCTGCCTATAAAGGAGTAAATAGATAGACTGTTTCACTTGCCTCACTCTGATTAAATATATGACATGTATATTTGTGGCAATACAGTATTCAAACGCTTATTAACACCTGAGTTGAAGATGTTGGATCTGGTCATTCACAAAATCACCTTGTCACCTCAGGTGACTGCCCTTGTGCCTACATGTCTGCAAATGTTCGGTATGTAGATAGATTCTGCAGGGGAAACCCAAGTACCAGGAGCCAGCCACTTGACACCACATGGTTTGAAGCAGGAGAAAACCAAAGCATCCAGTGGACAGAACTATGGTGCTATGGTTGGGAATAACATAGGGACCACAGCTCCTGACCATCTGCACTGGTAAGTGGGCAGCATCCTGGGGCCTTGCTTCGTGGGTGGCACAATCGAGACCATCCAGGCCTGCTGAGGTCTTGGTCACACCTTCAAGTGGGCAGCACAAGCATTGCCCACCCATTTCCTAACTGGTTAAGGAATGCCACCCAACTGGGGAATATCTTACCTCTAGGCTCCTGCCCAGCGAGGAGGGGTCAGCAAATGCTTAAAATCCCAAGACCCTTCCTCCAGCCTTTGGTGTCTCTCGCTCCCTCCCCCTTTTGAAAGCCACCTTCTGGCTTTCTCTCAGGAGGTGCTTTCCCCTTCCCTCTCTCTTCCCTGCTCACCTGGTCCCTTCGCAAATACACTTTTCTCTCTGCAACAGATTCCCGACTTTTTATTTCTATATTAAGCTGAAGAAAGAACCCACCGGGCTTTTCTGGTAACACAACGACACATAGAATTAAGCGGCCCACGCTAGAAAAGCCTCTGTAGACCCTGAGAGTGGCAACAGATACAGGGAGCAAAAAACAACTTGAATGTATGCCATGTGCCATCCCATACAAATACAAGCTGTCCCAGAAAACAGGAGGGCAGAAGCCTTGACAAACTTCTGAATCCTGTCGCAAGTCCAAGATGCAGAACTAGCTCTTTGGGTACACAAGCAGACCCAAGCATGCTGGAATAAGAATATTGCAAAAGGAACAGGATATCCCTGAAATGCAATGACTTGCTGAGATCTACAACTCTGTAGTATGTTTATGCCTCCCCCTCTGCCCTTGACCTACAAATAGGTTCAGACCCACTGTCCAACATATGCAAGACTGGAAACTTGATTACTTTGGCCCCTCTCTGAACAGCAAAGACACAAACACCCCTTCACCTTAATCTATGTAAGACACTGCTACAAGCCTCATACAGGCAGGTTTTGGTTTGGTTTGGTTTGGTTTGGTTTGGTTTGGTTTGGTTTGGTTTGGTTTGGTTTGGTTTTTTTGTGGATAATACCATTGTTTCCACACTAATATCATTTTTTTCTCTGTATCTGGGGTCAGGGGAGAAACAAAGGAAAAAACTCCACCCAACCTCCCACCATCCCAGGCCCCCCGATGAGAGGCACGCTCTGAGGGTCCTGCTCAAACAGTTGTGATAGTTCAATAGTTCTGAATTGCTGCCAATATCACCGTTCCTATCACAATTAAACCTATTCAGAATCCACAGGCTGACATAGTCTCTTCATGGTTGGGGTTCTGAGAGCAACAGTTCAGTTGGAGGGATCACCAAAGAAACTTCGTCTGATATGATCC